AATGAGTAAGGTGACTGAAAAACAAATCACCTTTCCATTCTGTTTCCCATTCATCCTCCTCGCTGGTTGTAAGATGTGTCTCCTGCACAAAGAGCATCGAGGCTTTGTGTTCTTTTGCGAGAGAATGCACAAAGTGTCTCTTCAGTGGACCTCTACACCCATTTATATTAATTGTAGCTATCCGCAGCATTAAGTGTCAGTGGAGTTGTCGCCAGGTGTGTTTTCTTTCCACATAGTTATTTGGCTCAGGAAATACCTGATCCTCTTCCTTTTATTCCCAGATGACGACTTTCCCTGTCTCTTGAAGTCCTGTTCAACATGGAGTAGGGAGGCTATAATTGCCTCCACATTTCGCCACCTTGACAGAGCTGCAGTCACTCGTTCTTCTGAGCCATGCACTTCATCTAAAAAGGTCCACAGCTCTGACTGTGAGAATATTGATGCCCGTTCAGTCAGCTCAGCAGATGTCGGGTTCACTGAACGTCCTGTGTTGAGGGTTTCTTCCAACTACTCTTCTTGGCTTCCCCCCTCAGCCCCCAAGCTTTAAGGCTTTTCAGTCGTCGTGGTATCCTTCGTCGATGCTTTATTGGGTGATGCCACTTGCCCCTCCACTGATGGCCCTCCATCGTCCTCGTCCTGGTCACCCCGCGTAGTTTGGTCAGTTGGGTCCTGTTTGGGCTCCTCCGTGCTCTTGGCCGCTCGTGTTTCCTGGGAGCCCTCGGCCGCCTCACTAGGCTCGTCGTCGAGGTCTGAAGCGTGACCCTCTTCACTTGTTTCCTCCATCACTGCACAGGTTGCGTTTTCCCCCACTTCTCTTTCAGGCTCCAGATTTTCTTCAGGTGTCCTGCGCTTGAGCTTGGTTCCTGCACGGGGCTTCTTCCCTGTGCGTGTCCCGCCTCTAGGGGCATCTGGGATGGTGAAGACCCCATCCTTGCCACCAGTGCTCTCCGCGTCTCCCCCAGGCGTTGGTGCGATGTCCGACTCCAACTCTGGGAGATCTTTAAAGGGACTGACCTCATCCCCACTTGACTCTGGAGACAACGAAGTCGAATCCTCCATAAATTTCCTCTTCAGAGGTCCGGCTGTCAATGATGGCGGGTGGCTGGCTGAGCCTCAGTCTCCATGGCAGTAGCTGGTGTTGGAGCGGGGTCTACCGCCATCTCGCGTGATCTCCGTGGTGAGGGACCCTCTCCTGAGTCACTTGTTGGGGGTGCTTCTTTAGCACCCTTTTCCACCGTTGCCTCGCTGTTGGATTGGGTATTTGCTGTCTTTGGGCAGTGTTTCTTAATATGCCCCTCTGCTTTGCATAGGTTGCATTTTAGCACGTCCCTGCAGTAAAACAGCCTATGGGCCCTTCCTCCATGCATGACCACAAAGGAGCCCTCCTCAAGCTGCCCATTGGGCACCAGCATGTAGACCTGTCTTCTAAAAGACAAGACATGCCTCAAGGCGGGATTTTTGAGGCCCAAAGGCACGCGCTGTAGGTTGGAAGTCAGCGTGCCCAACTTAGCCAGGTTATCTTGGATGTCTTTATCGGGAATGTAGGGGGGGACATTGGATACGATCACACGTACCGATGGCGACGACAGTGGCTTCAAGGTGAGGTGCCAATTGTCAACCAGCAGCCCCTTCTCCATGGCGGCGTTTGCCACCTTTCGGACTCCATGAAGAAAACCAACCCTTCCGCTCACCTTGGAGGCGTACTTTATCGAGCCTCCAGGCACGATGGCGCCCAGCGCTTCCACGTAGACTTCGAGTGGGACATCGGTGGAAGCCGGGCAGCGGATCCCAGCCTCGCGTGGAGGCTCCAGCTGCTGCTGCTGCTGCTGCTGTGGGCCCCTTGCAGGCCCCAGAGACCGGCCTTGCGTGGAGGCTCCAGCTGCTGCTGCTGCTGGTGCCTTGCAGGCCCCAGAGACCGGCCTTGCGTGGAGGCTCCAGCTGCTGCTGCTGCTGCTGCTGTGGGCCCCTTGCAGGCCCCAGAGACCGGCCTTGCATAGGCGCGGTAGCTTTCGCGTACGTCGTTGCGGGTCGGGTGGACATCTTCACTCGTGTGAGATGTCACACACAACTACTAAAGCAAACCTCTCTATTTTCTAAAGCCAGGAAAAAAATTAACAAAAAAGCAAGAAACGAATTTTTTTTTTATATAAAGATGGTCAAAACTGTGTTATGACCACCTTCTTATCTTCTTTGGTTCTTTCGGTAAAGTCACGTAGAATGAGAATAAAGCTCTGTCGTCCCGACGGGTCTGTTCCTTTCACCTGAAGAAGGCCGCTTGTGTTGTGGCCGAAACGTCGTGAAAATTTTATTGTGTTATTTTATTTTATTAATTTATTATGTTATTCTCATTCTACGTGACTTTACCGAAAGAACCAAAGAAGATGAATCCTTGCAGTCACGAAAGCTTTAAATCGAAATTTGACCACCTCTTAATTACTATTACTGCTGTCCACCCAAATCTCCCCTGGAGAGGGTAAAATTACTTAAAGTCCTCGGTTTTTTTTACAAGAGGAGAAGAAAAAAAACGAAAATGTAGAAAAAAAATCCCACCAATAAAAAATACTGTTAACACGCTCCCAGCACAAAACAAGAGGAGTCGAAAGTGGATGTTCGCACTGCACTCACACGGGCCGGTGTGGTTCAGTGCCAACACGTGGTGTGTGTAACACGTGGAAGCACACGAGAAAAAGGAACGAGAAAAAAACACACGAAAAAAATCACAAAATTCAAAAGTTGCTTGCGGAACAAAGGAACTCAAAATCGAAATAGCAACAAAGAAAAGCGTGATTATGAAATCAATTATCAAATAAAAGTGGAGGATTGTGCGGAGAACAAAGACACCTGCGCACTGCAGATAGCGCAGCCGCGCCCTGAACAGTGAAAACAACAGAAAAGAACAAATAAATAAGGACAAAGGAAGTCTAAAATAAACAAACAAAGTAATTACAAATTGTGTATAAAGCGAGACACTGTTGGTGAAAAGAAATCCCGAAAAAAGGGTGAGGAAAATTAAGTTTTTAGAGCGAAGGCCAGGAGCTCTGGGTGAAACACGTCTCTCTCTCTCTCCGCTCCCTCCCTCCCTCCCTCCTTATTTTGTCCGATTTTGGTTTACGAGAAACAAATCTACAATTTTACAGAAAGGCAATTGAGGCGAATCGTTGTGTCTGAAGTAGCGTAGTGGATGGCTGTGATGGTGCCTCCTTGCTATTTGGGAATCGGGCATCGAGTCGTTGTACGTTCCACAGTCTGTTCTGGGTGACCACAGTCGCACGCTGGAACATTTGTTTTACTTTGAATGTGTGCATCTGCTGCCATGATTTTTGTAAGTATGCATGCATGTTGAAGTTCTTTCGCACCGTACGTAGCCAACCGTGCTAATCGGAGGTGCAGGCGATGGACAACAAACTCAACTCAAAAAGCAGTCCTAAATAAATGTTGTTTTTAAATCTAAATGTAAAAGTGCATAGCTCCAGTGGTTTCCTAAAATTGGAAGGGGAGAATTCCAGACGGCCGCAAAAGCGCATCTGAAAGCACGTGATCCTGTGACCGCCTTTGTTCGATGGCCAGCAGCCAAAAGCCGCTACCATGGTTTGTGCAGTGGATGCGGTTTGGAGTTGTGGCCCAGAAGCTTCGCCAAGGGCCGAAATCCAAGGGGATGTATTACAGTGTCTGTGACTCCTTAGGAACTCCATTCGGCTTTTCAAACATCGTCATCATCATCATCATCGGTGTTGAAGTGGCACTGTTGAAAGTTAAGCGCATGGGTCCAAGAGGGCTTGCACGGCTGCAAGCGTTGGCGGAGAAGGATGTTATTGAGATCCCTGAGGATGGGGAGATGTACGTTTTCCACGATTTGCTGGACTTCCTCTACGGTTTGCAGCCAGTGACATCAGGAAATTAAGCCATTGTTGTCAGAAATGCGTGACACTGGCTGGAAACTACATAGGAAGGACAAACATCTGTGCTGAGTTTTGCTGATGGCTCTGTGGTCAGGGGAAAATTTTTTTTTGACTTCCCACTCATATGCAGTACAAACATCGAGTGATATATGTTTGCATTCCTTGGTGACGTTTTAGTGCAAAACAACGTTCAAGTGTTTTTGTGTAACCAGGTGAGCACTCAAGGGACCAGGATGAGCCCGCTTTGCTGGAGTGACCTTTGTCACCAACATGCCACAAAAAAATACAAATGTACAGCAATGAAGCAAATAGAAATCTGCGCAAAAACAACCGTGCCGAAATGGCCAAATTTATTATTGTTTCCCTTCAACGTGACTTTACCGAAATAACCAAGAATATAAAAAAATAAAACAGGTGTTGAGATGTTACAACACCAAACTGAAACATTTTACAAGGAATCATGTCTGCATTAACCACACATGCTTGTGGTGACCATGCAAACAAAAAAGGACATGGTCTGGTAGTATATGATGCATTGTCTTTGAAACTGATTGGTCTACACCAGAGACAGCTTTCTTTAGAGCCTCGTCTCAAACAGTGATAGACCAGAGGACGCCAAAAGGTGAACAGCACAAAGACAATGCTACTATCAGGCTTTTGAGAGCTCGGGGTGAGCTGGCCAAATTTGCTTGCAAAAATTGGTTGCGTGGCAAGCGATATTGGGCACGTCACCATCGCATGCCGCAAACCCAAATGTTTCAATTCGCCGGGGCCGATATTGATGCACCACAGATGCACGATGTGACTTGTTTAGAGCCATTGTCATTAAGAACCCTTAACACCCATTACTGAGACACTAGAGAGCTCGTGAGCTTCTCACTTTGGGACATTGGCTGCACGTGATGCACGAGGTGTCTGTGCTTGAACATCTTAGGTCTCTCTTGCAGGGATTGCCGACTATTGGTAACGTTAGGGTCCAGCATTGGTTTGATCATCTTACCCCAGTTATCTACTCTCTCCCCTTCAATCTCTCACCCCCCCCCCCCTCCTCTTTCTCTCTGCTATTCTCTCTCTTTGCTCCACTCCTCTTCCCTGCTTTAGATTTCAGCCAGGATTTGTTTTAGGTCCATTCGTCTTCACCCGACGCGGCGACCATTGGACCCCTCGTTTCATTTGCGTGCTCGTTTTGGTCGAAAAAAATGTGAGTAAAAAAAGGAAAAAGTTCCCTGAAAATCGCACCTGCGTGACACACAGACAAAAGACACACACACCACACACACGGGCGCACAAACACACACACGCACACACTTATAATCCATCTGCCAGCCTGCGGTTTTATCCAACTCCCGCGACGCACGTACGGGAGCTTGCGCCTTCAACAAACGGAGCTGGCGCTTGGGGGGAGGGAGGGAGGGGGGGAAGGGATGTGGCTGGGAAGACAGAGTGGTGGCCGAAACGGAGGGATCGGCTGAACGGACAGAGGGAGAGAGAGCAGGGCAGTGGGGGAGCTCCGGTGGAGGACGGCGAAGTCGGGGGCGGAGGTGGTGGCAGAGGTGGTGGTGGAGGTGGACTCACAGGGGGGAGCGGTTACGTTGAGGAGGTGGTGGTGGAGGTGGACTCGCAGGGGGGAGCGGTTACGTTGAGGAGGTGGTGGTGGAGGTGGTGGTGGAGGTGGACTCACAGGGGGGAGCGGTCACGTTGAGGAGGTGGTGGTGGAGGTGGACTCACAGGGGGGAGCGGTCACGTTGAGGAGGTGGTGGTGGAGGTGGACTCACAGGGGGGAGCGGTTACGTTGAGGAGGTGGTGGTGGTGGTGGTGGAGGTGGACTCACAGGGGGGAGCGGTTACGTTGAGGAGGTGGTGGTGGAGGTGGTGGTGGAGGTGGACTCACAGGGGGGAGCGGTCACGTTGAGGAGGTGGTGGTGGAGGTGGACTCACAGTGGGGAGCGGTTACGTTGAGGAGGTGGGGACACGTGCCGAGGTTGCTGTGTGGGGCTGAGTGGGTGGCTGAAAGATTTGTCAGAGTGATTTTTTTTGTTTTGCTTTGGAGCGATGGAACGTCAGCTCACCTTCTGCGGTTTGTATCTTTCTTAATTACAGGCAGGCGAGTTAATAGCCACACACAGGCGGAGGCTTTGAAGCGAGAACATCTGCTGCTGCTGCTGCTGCTGCCGCTGCCGCCGCTCTGTTTCCCTTTGCATTCTGTTTTGCTGAATCTATTCACACGTCTGCTTTTTTTTGGGGCAATTTGCATGCCATTTCTTGTAATTAATGTGAAACACGTTTCAGCTACGTAAAAAAAACAAATTGCATGTTTTCTCGCAAATATATATTCGTTGCTAGGTATTGAAACACCTACTGTTATTATTATTATATACGTCAACGATGCATTGTATCATGACGCGTCATTCGGACCACTGGTTTAAAAACACCAAGGTGCAAACGTATATTTTCGCGTTGTAGAATTTCATGAAAGAGACAAGGTTTAAACATTGGCGTAACTATTTTCAGTTTTTTTTTTAACTGGTGCTGAATACAAAACAATGAATGCGACTAAAATATTAAAGGCTCGCGCAGTGCATTAACGAAACTTGTTGTATTAAAGCGCTGCATAGTAACCACGTGGAAGTGGAATAGAAGTGTCTTTTTTATATATATGAAAAAATAATGGAAGATGAATAAAGCAATTTTAAACAAATTCATACTATCTGCTTTTTGTTTCACAGGTCTGGATTGTGATTAAATAATTCAGAATAAAGGCAAATTAATCCGGAAGCTGTGCGTGAAAAATTGCCCACAAGCATGGGAATGTGTGCGTTCGTGGCTTTGTCTGCGCCACAAATCTCTATTAGTTTATAAATAATGTAACGCATCCGGCACATGCGAACAAAAAGTTTGCATTATGTAGCGACCCAAAGTCATATATTTATGATCAAAACAACACGGGATTTTCAGCAAGGGCTCGACGTCAAAATGCATTTTGATGAGCTACCATTATTTATAATCTTCAGTGAGATATAAAAAAAACATTGTCATCACCAATGTACATATATCACTCGACTCTTGAGAACCCGGTTTAGCGGCATTGATTTCCCAATATGAGGCCCCCGAACAACCGTGGCAACGTTGGAGATGCGCGTGCAATGATCCCTCTCTTAGAGACGTAACTGTTCTGGAGAAGCCCCGCACATCGCCCCAGTTTACAATCTCATCTCCGTGCGTTGTACTAAGCGCGTAAACAAGCACGTCGCCGACTGACGACGGGCAGCAGCAACAACAAGGCGAGGGAGCAAACACGCGCCACACTAAAGAAAGCCAAGATGATCGCGGCATCGCACGCCGACATCCTGCCCTCCGGTTCGATCCCCTCTGCGGGGGAAGTGTCGCTCGGCACGACCTCTCCGCCGACCGCGGCCATGCCAACGCCCCCCCCGCCACCGCTCGCGCTGTGCCCCGACTGCGGGCAGCTGCACTCGGCGGCCGAGGGCCACGTGTACGACTACCGGCAGGAGGTGGACGACGACCTCACGTGCCACATCTGCCTGCAGCCGCTCGTGTCGCCCACCGACACGCCGTGCGGACACACGTACTGCGCCCGCTGCCTCCGAGGGTTCCTGCTCGCCACCAGCAGGCGAGTGGACGGGCCCCTGGGTGATTTGTTTGCCTCTCCTGTCGCGCTTTGTCTGCGGTCGTAACGTCTGTAGAAAAGAGCTTTATAGCTCGTCGGATTCCCCCCAGTGTAAATAGATATTCTGATTCCGCTTGGAGTTCACTTCCCACCCACGCAGCCGTCCGTGCCGCCGGGTTCCCTGCCCCCACCACTGCTCATGTCCAGGCTGAAGCCTTCGCTTTCAGAGGCGGATTTATAAACCTCCCAAGGTTCGGTGATCTCAAACTGTTAATCTTTTCGACTGAACCAGAACGTTCTCAGTATTTATAATGAAACCATTCACAGTATTTTTTGTTAATGGTAAATGTAAATGAAATTACGTTTTGGGTCTCAGAGTGGGAGGAGGGGGGGGGGGGGCTTGCCCCATCACCCCCCCGCATCTCCCTCCTGGGATCTGCCACTGCTTCCTTTTAACCTTGGTCCATGACTGCCTCTCATACTTATGCCGGCACTGTACAATACGCATCTTCGTCATTGTTTCTCTCACAGACTCTCGTCACGTTTCGATGCTGTTCAAATCTACGTTGTATTGTAATTGCATTAGCTGCTTTCTGAATTTCATCCCATGCAACGTGGAGCCGATTCAAATGTCTCTCATTTTGTGATATAAAGTGTTTGGGTGACCACACCGTTGAGAGTCACGAAGCACAATAGTGGTGCAGCTTGTCCATTTAAAAAAAACCGATAAAACTGTAAACAATGTATTCATCTTTGCTGTGGTTTTCACACCTGATGATGATTGCTTGTGTTGCAGTCGAAACGTCGTGAGAATTTTTATTGTTTTAAATTTTTATTATTTTATTGTTTCCCTTCTACGTGACTTTACCGAAAGAACCAAGAATATAATGTATTAATCCATACAACCTCACTAAGAGGTCAGAGCCCCGAGCTGTTAGCACGGAGCTGTTCGATTTTATCGTAGGCATCAATGACTGGCAAACCCCCCCCCACCCCACATCATATTAAAATTTGGTTTTTCATGTAATTTCCAGCTCTGATAATCCCCCCCCCAAAAAAATATATTGTATCGTTATTAAATGAACATTAATCACTAAGAAAGAGGGGGGGGGGGTGAGTGCTGCCTCTTAGTGTGTATAATAGGCCACTTGACTGGATCTCAGAAGTAGTTTGGTAGTATCCGCTTCTGCATGTATGTATGTTGAACTTCTTTTGCACTTGAACGTAGCCAACATTGGCAAGTAGGACTGCGAGAGTTCCACGTGGATCTGAATCTCGTGACGCGATGCCGATAGCGCGGTTGGGATGAAATGGGAGGGAAGAGACGGTGCAACAACAAACAGAAGGAAACAGCTCACTCAGAGCCGGTATTGCTTTTCATGATGGTTATAAATTGTGGAACGTTCGCTAATTTGATTTCATGGCAGGAAACGTGAGCATCCAGAGAAAGCCCTCTCTTACGTTGTTGTTGCTGTTGTCGTTGAGAAAGCTCTCCCAACACTTAAAATGTCTGTACGTACGGATTGACAAACGCTTGAAGAAAAAAAAGCCTTTTAACTGGACATGTCACAAAGCACTGATCAGTGGAACATGTCCCTCTTTGATGAAAATCAAAGAACAAAATTAAGACGTAAAAAAACGATCTCCAAATAAATACCATTCGCGTTAGAACCTCAAGCTTCGCAGCGCCTCCCCGGGGCCGATGGTGACCACGTCGCAACAGGTAGTCTACACCACTGAGGCTGCATTTAAGCCCAAGGGAGACGCAGACAAAAGTCAAACTACGTTTCCAGTTGTCATTAGGGCTGCGTGCCGCGAGTCAAGGCTCTAACCTGGTCTGCCAGGATCGTGGCACAACAGCCGAGCTGATACACGAAGCAGCAATGCCACTTATGTCGTCTTGCGTGACCCATACATATGAAACACAGAGCAGATGGCATTGTCTCACAGGGTGTAATGATGATGGTGATTTCCCACCGTGAGAAAAGCTTCCAAAGCAGTGGACGGCTCCACTCGGGGGTGGAACAACTATGCATCGAATCGTCAGTGTCGATTCTTAAGCTCGCGATAATCAAACAGTGAAAGTGATTTCATTCTTAGGTGAGCATTGAGGTGATGCTCATTTCCTATTCAGAGACTTAAGCCTTGTGGCTGAAATTCCACATTCCTATGCCGGGGTAGGGTGTGTCCACAGGACAACCACTGTTGAATTCCCCACAAAGTGGTCATCAATTTATCAACCCTGCAGAGATGATGAGCTGATAATCAACGCCTAACCAGGATTTGAACTCCCAACCTTCTGATTGCGAACTGTTCTCTCCTCAACTGAGCCGGCTGGCACACAACACGTGCATCGAATTGCATAATACTTCATGCTTTGTTATTCACATAAGGTTTATACATTATTCTAGTTTATACATTATCAAAAATGTATCACGTGTTAAAAAATGTATGGCTTTAGTTTAGTTTTATAATTGAATCCATTTACAGATTTAATTTCCGTGGATAAAAAACAACAACAAATAAATGGATTAGTAAACAATGCATTTTATTTAAGGAGCAATGAAAATGCAGATCGCTGGAAATTTTCCATTAAAAATATATGCAATTCAATTTACATGGAGCGACCTTCCAGAATGTTCTAAAGCGTGCAAATAATTAATTCTAGAATGAGAGATGGATTGTGACTTTGCAAGGCCGTGAGAGAGATGGTGAAGGCACGGTGGAAGCCTTCATCCAGCAGTGGATGGACTATGACTGCTGATCATGATACGTTGTATGTAAGAGGTAGACATCAATTTAAAGCGTTCGTGACTGCAAGGATTCATCTTCTTTGGTTCTTTCGGTAAAGTCACGTAGAATGAGAATAAAATAATAAATTGATAAAATAAAATAACACAATAAAGTTCTCACGACGTTTCGGCCACAACACAAGCGGCCTCCCTTCACCTGATGAAGCGGCCTTCCTTCACCTGATGAAGGCCGCTTGTGTTGTGGCCGAAACGTCATGAGAATTTTATTGTGTTATTTTATTTTATCAATTTTTTATTTTATTCTCGTTCTACGTGACTTTACCGAAAGAACCAAAGAAGGTTGACATCAGTTTAACACGTAGGCTTTCGTGACCAATATCATCCATAATATAGGTGTTTTGGGTTAGGTCGCATAAATATAAATGTGTCGTTAAACCCGCCACCACCCGACACAGCCAATTAGTAAGGTTTGTCACATAAACAGAACGTGTTGTGGATTTTCTCTTCAACGCACCGGTGTGCTGTACTTTTAACGAATTGGCATGTTCTGTTTATGTGACAAACCTTACTAATTAGCTGTGTCGGGTGGTGGCGGCTTTAACGACACATTTATATTTACGCGACCTAACCCCCCAAAAAAATAGAGGATGTAGGTGAACATCACCCCTCTGCAGCCATGAGAGGCAGTACAATTCGCCGCTATGTACAACGTAAAAATACTCCCCAGTAATCGAGACGATTTATAACATTGCTGTGGAGGGGGGGGGGGGGGGGCGTGAATTGACTCCACCCCTAGTTTCTAAACTAATGAAGAAAAAATGTTCTCGATTGTTTCAAACCTCCCCAACCCCCCATCCCATTAACGTTGTCAATACTGCACAATTAGACCATTAAGCGGGCCAATGATCAGATCCGCCGCTGCATTAGTGCTGCGGAGCGGTCGGAGGATAATCGCACGGAGGCCTTTCTCACAACCCAGGGACACTCCACGAAGCTCCGCCGCTAAATGGTCCCGTTGGTGGCTCCCCCCGGGAGTGACACAAAACCCCGAGACCTTCCACGTCAGTATCCAGGCTACAAGATCACTGAGCGAATTTTTTTTTTAACCGGAGGGAATGGAAACGGAATAATAACCTCGACTTAGCCTTAAAAATTTTTTTTTTAATATAAATCTTCTCACCTTCACATTTTCTCCTTCAACCCCTTCAGAAAAGCCCCTCTGATCTGTTAACAGTGAATAGGGGGCAAAGTGGTGGAAGAGCGGGGTGTAGGGGGCCATGCGGGGGGGGGGGAGGGGGGGTGAGGACACTGGGTTACGAGTGGGGGAGGCTCTGCAGCAGTGGGAGTTTAAGGGCAGAGAGGCGAGCCGAGCAGCAACGGAAGGTGGTGAATCAAAAGCTGGAGGGGGAAAGTGGAGTGAGACACAAAGACAGGAATGAGACTCGAGAGGCCGCAGTGGCCAATGAGAAGCCCAACACCAAACACCGGCACAATGTTAATGAGCCCTGGGAGAGAATGGATATAGAGTGAAGCCGGCGCTTCTTACGAGAGCCAACTCTCGGCTCCTGGAGCAGAAAACAAGCGTGGGGGAGAGCGATAGCAACTGCGCACGGTCAAATACGCATCCGGGAGCTGTTGGCGCGTAAATGGTCAGCGCACTTGCAATCTGCGGGTTGGCGATTCGGGCCCGGCTACTGGGAGCTGCAGTCAAGACAATGGGGGCAGGTTCACGCAGTCACCCCCCTGCCCCACCTCTGTCCGCACAGCAGCGTGAGTTCGTGCACGTACGCTTCGTCGATCGGCCCGGGTCGCACGTGTTGGGACAGAGGGTGGGCACTCCCGCCTCCTTCAACGCGTCTGGTCAATGTTGAGTAGGCCAAATGTTCTTTCACTCCAGTTGGAGGCCCTTCTGCCAGCAGTGGCGTGAGCAAGCGATTGCAGGGTTGCACCTTTATCATTTTCATCTTTTAATATTGCACCCACGTGCCTGCTGCTTCTGCATGCTGCTCTTGAGAAGTTTCGTAGGTTTCAGTAAAATGCTTGGGAAAGTGTCCATCTGCTTAGAGACTGTGCTTCATCACACACCACTGCATTCTCTCGTGCACATAGACAAATATAGCCCCATATAGCTATTAACAAATTGCTGGGGCAAGTGCGATCCGTGGGCACCTATGAAGGGCCAGCACGGCACACGAGGGGGTGGGTAGCACCATGCCCAGCTGCCTTTGTCTCCCCACTGCTGATGTTTAC